GGAGGTTGATACATGAGCAGACCCTCCAAAACGTTTTGAAGCTAGATCCAAGCGTTCGATCATTCGTGCAACCCCTGCTATTCCAGCATTCATCTCGCGTTGCACTCCTTTGCTCAGTTCTTTCACTGAGTTGTTGCGGGCAAGTAGCTTCTCTTTAAGACCTTGTTTACTTTTAGAGATCGATTCTTTGTACCTAGAGGCAATGTCAATGTCCTTTTATCAGTTTTTATTACCAACTTCTAAACAAATGAAGAGGATTGAGATTGACATACCTTGCAGAGGCAGCAGCTAGTTTGGATTTAATGGCTTCAGGAAGAGAAGATGCTTCAGGTGAATTTTGACTTTGAGATGAACGAGATGGAGAGATTCCAGGGGAGATTCTGGTTATAGGTACAAGAAAATATAAAGATATGTTAAATAGTGATTAGGTAAAAGTTATAAGCAGTTTAAAGGCTTGAGCTTTATCCAAGAAGAAGCTGCATAATGAACAGTCAACAGACATGGTCTCAATTTCCATCGCCGTTTAAATCAATTATCAGTGGATAAAAATCGACCCAACCAGTAACTAAGTGAAACAGGAGATACAGAAGGCATCTCCATCGTCCCATATACACATTTCTTTAGAACACAAGCAAATAGAAACCATAAATCATGAAAACTGGTTATAGATAAACCAGGCAGAAAATGCTTCAATTTGTACTTGATTTTTGTGTATGTCAATACCTGGAATCGTTGGTGCTATCTCGAGGAACAGAGTCAGGAGATGGGGTCATCGAGCCAGGACTCAGACAAGGGTTGGTGTTTTGATGTTCACCATGGGAAATAATAGCAGATATGTGATCAGGATTGGTCAACTCAGACAAGGGTTGAACCATAGCTGGATCATTGGACGAAACAAGACTTGAGGATATTTGAGTCTCCCTTCTGCGAAGCAAACAACGTCTATGTGCAGCTTCCGCGAGATGCCTCAAGAACTGCTCATCAAAGCTGCTAAAGGACGATTCCTCCTGGCAAGATATATCTAGTCAACTACCAGAACCAAAACTCTTACAATTCAATAAATCACATAATTTTACGAACCTCCTCTGAGTGAAAATCCTCATGAGAGTGATGAATAGATCTTGGAGAGGAAGAAGAAGATATGTTGCTAGTTTTCAACAGTCTTTCCTTCTCCACAGCAGACAAAAGCTCTTGGCTACATTAAAAGAAACCAACACTATCAAGACCTAAATATGAATAACAGTATCATCAGAAGCAAGTAAATAATCATAATATGGTTGATGAATGAATACCTAGCAGGATCTTTCAAAACAAACAATTGCCAACAAATAGGACACTCTTTGCTTCTTTGTGACCTGTGTAAGTAACCCCATTTACATATCAGTCACAGACAGATGAAAAAGAAGCACAAGATTCATCTCTAAAACAAAAGCTAAAAAATTGTTTGTACCATTCAATAATACACTGAAGGTGATATTCATGTTTGCAACTGGTAACCTGAAAAACCATAAACAACAATATTGGAACATGGAAAAAGTAACAAGAGACGAACCATGTTCACATTAGACTCATCAACATGAGAAAAGCGAGATTATCAGATTGGAATTCGCATAACCATCCGTTTAATGGTTTTGAAGAACAAATCAAACGATCTCATATCAATTTCAAACAAAAATATCTCAGATTCCAATTATATCTCAGATTCCAGGCGAAGGGAGAAGGCGATCGTAAAACCCCATAAAGAGATTTAGTAGCGGAGAGAAATGTACAACAGAAAAGAGAGGAGGAAGAGGGTTTAGAATCTGACAGTGGAAGGATCGTGGGGAGTGAAAGGCTCGAGGCAGATGCTGCAAGCGTCGTCGGTATCATCATCGAACGGAGAGGAAGACGAAGAAGGACCAATGGCGGAATTAAAAGGAGATTCAGATAGATTGAAAGCAGAAGTATAAGTGAAATTGGACATTGTTGCAGAGAGC